TGTGTGTGTGTGTGTGTGTGTGTGTGTGTGTGTGTGTGTGGTCAGCTCAGCCCACCAGGGGGCGGGGCTGGCTGGCGTGTGGTGCTGGGGAATTGAACCGCAGTCCCTGTGCTTTGCTAAGCTTGTTTTAGGTGCTTTAGACCACTGAGCCATCTTACCAGTCCCTGTCCATTTCAGTCTTAATGGCCATTTTCCTTAACCTGTCCCATTAAGGCTCCTGGATTTCCCTTAAGGCCACTCATTTTCCTGGCTGCTTAATTTTTGCTCCCAGCTATATTCACTGGTTAGGGTCCATTTTATTTGTCACTTCTAGAGGCATGTAGTGACTTGACTGAGTACAGCATTTCATATCTTGTGTTAGTGGTTATTCCTAGTTTGGAAAAAAAATACCTTAAGTGTCTGCTGTATTTATTGATTTAATTTCCCTTCTGGCATGTAAATACTCAAAGTGTGCTGTGTGCTTGTGTGTGTGGGTGTGCATGTGCGTGTGTGTAAGAGAGGATCAAACCCAGGGTCTCATGAATGTAAGGCAAGTGCTTTGTCACTGAGCTACGTCCACGGCCTTTGAGATGACTCCATTTTGAGGTGGGGTCTTGCTACACTGATAAGAATGGTCCTTGCTGTACACTTTCTTTGGTCTAATCTATCTGTCTTGTCGTGGCCAGCTCAGCCTGCCTTGGGTCTGGGCTGGGGTGGCTTGTGGTGCTGGGTATCGAAGCACGGTCCCTGCGCTTGTCTTAGCTTGCCTAAGCAGGCACTTTAGCCCACTGAGCTATCTTGCTGGTCCCTGATCTACTCTTCTAACTCACTTGTGGCCTCCCCCCTTGTACTGAGTAATGTTGTTTTGGTCTAGGGCCTGTACTTTCTAGGCATATGTTCCAGCACCTGTTAGGTCCCAGTCCTAACTTGCCCATGATAGTACCAAACACTTCAGTTGCAAAGTAGATAGAGGGAAAATACTGCTGATGTGATTTTTTTTTTTTTTTTTTTTTTTTTCTGTGAGTGAAAGAACTGAATGAAGTGTTTATACTTACCCTTGGCTTTGGCATGTTCTTTGTGTAGCATGTTTTAAAGATGGGTTTGGTTTAGTATATTGAAAGTGGGACAAACCATGTAAGAGCAGATATCCTCCGAAAATCTTTGAATCAGAAAATACGAATTTTATTTTTACTGGCCATGAGCTGTATGAATTTGAGAAGTCCTCTGAAGTGTTAAAGCTCTCCTTAAGAAAATAAAAAATTGTGTTACGGGATAGCGTAAGTTTCTCTAATGCTGCATGTCGTTTTTACTGAGCTAGGTTCCAACCCATTCTGTTGTAGCAGTCGAGCCAGGAGAAACAATCTGTGGTTTCAGGAGCTTACTTTTTCTTGATCACCTATAGACTGATGAGCTAGGGGACCACAGGCATCTGGCAATGCTGACTAGGCAGTGTAAAATGAACTGCCTAGTGATCTGTGGCCACCCAGTGGTTGTGGAAGTGTACATGCATGGTTTATTTTGTTTCTGCTTTGCTCCCTGAATTTATCTATTGGGCAGTAGTGAACATAATTTGAAATTTGAGGTACATATTACAGCTTTAGAGTTCTGGGACAGGGATGGTCCTGGGGATTGAATTCAGGGCCTTGGGATTGAAGTGCAACCTCATCCCCAGTCCTTTACTTTTTGAGACAGTTGCTAAGCACCTGAGTTTCCCAGGCTGGCCTTGAACTTGTAGTCCTCCTGCTTCAGCGTCCCAAAGTGCCGGATGACAAATGTGCACTACTATTCCTAGTCAGACTTAAGTTTTAAAAACTTAACTATGAAGTCATAGCTGTGCTGAAAATCTGTCTCTTGGTACTCTATAATTATGATTGTAAGAATATTAAGCATATCTTAACGTGTTCCCACCAGCTTCAACCACCAGACATTCCCACAAGGCAGCTTGTACCACTAGTTGTACAAATGGATCTAACCACTTTTTTTGTACCAGGAATTGAATTTAGGACCTTGCACTTACCAGGCAGGCACTTGTGCCACTCAGCTATATCCTGACCCTGGATCTAATCACTTATCTGTCTTTACTAATAAATAAAAGCTGTAAGCCGCCCAGCAGTGAGACCTATGAATTATAGCCTGATATGAACATGTTATGTAGTATTTAAACTTTTTTTGTGTTAAATGCCATCTATTTTCTTTAAACCACAAAATAGTCTGACTGTACAAAAGTCACAGTGACTGTCTTGCCAAGAGGTCCTGGGCTGAGGAATGCAGCAACAGGAGTTGGGAAGTCAGAGCTCCTGAGAGGTCTCTCCAGAATGCTAACACC